ATACAGAGACCTCCCCGCTTCTGAAATGTGAGAATCCCATTTAAAAATCCTCCCAAATTCCATAGAGGGACTCAGATGTGTCTCTGGCTTCAGGATGCAAAGCAACCATTTTGTGTATTTAATCGATGTATGTAGCTGTTGCTTGACATGCGACCCAGAGTGGGATAGAGGTGAAACACAGAACAGTACAAAAATAAATTAGCACAATGTAGATGAAGTTTTTGTATGAATAACTGTTAAATGTTTGTGTGCTTTATCTTGCTGTAAACTGTTCAGAGTCGCCTTGAACTATGAAATGGGCAGCAAATAAATTTGAAAGTAAGTAAGTAAGTAAGTAAGTAAGTGAGTGAGTGAGTGAGTGAGTGAGTGAGGAAGGAAGGAAGGAAGGAAGGAAGGAGAAACCCTCACAACAAGAAGGAATGAGGGAAGGAGAGAGAAGGAAAGAAGAAAGAAAGAAAGAAAGACAGTAAGCTTCTAGCCAACCTCCTTTCCTAATAGGATTTTTTAAAAAGAACATGAATTTAATTTGTAAGCCGCTTTGTGACAAGATGGGCAGCAAACAAATGACATAAATCAATAAATCACCATCTAGTTTCTGGCCTTCTTCAGGTGGCCCTTTCAAAGTTTCATCCGACAGAGTGGCAACCTGAATAACCTGCAGGAAGAAGAAAGGGCAGAAATCAGCCTAGGTCTAGGACAATGTTTCTCAGCCTTGACAACTTTAAGGTGTGTAGCCCTCCAGTCCCAGAATTCCCCAGCTAGCGCTATTGAGAGTGTTTGTCTCTTTAGCAATAGCAATAGCACTTAAGACTTAATGAACCTTCTGCTGCTTAGTTGAATGTTTCTCAACTCAGGGTACTTTTAAGGTGTGTGGACTTCAACTCCCAGAAATCTGGATTGGGGTTTGTGTAGGGATGCTGGCTGGGGAATTCTGGGAGTTGAAGTCCACACAATGTAAGGCTGCCAGGGTGGAGAACTGCTGGTCTAGAAATTGCAGGACCACAGGCCTGGGGCCATGAAGTTGGGGGGGACCTTTCCAAAGTCAATCAGAGCCCACTCTCCACTTGGTTTCTGTATAGACCCCACTCAGCCCCACTGAGATGGCCAGAGCTGGAAGGGAGGGGAGTATTTAATGTTCATGGACAAAACCAGGAACTTACCAGTTGGGCAAATGTAGACACTTTTAGTCTCTTGAAGAGCTCATCTTTCTTGTATCTGTAATCTGCAAAACACAGAGGAGTATTCCGTTAATAAACTCAGTAAAGGACAAAGCTTTCAATTTAGAAAAATCTGGAATTTCCAGGCAGTTCACGCAATGTGTTTCAGGTACAAGTCACTAGGAACAAGAGCAGTTCAAAACACTCAAAAGTTTATGACATGCTACCTGTACTCAAGAATTTGATTTACTGATGGTCAAGCCAAATTGGGGCTAGAAAAGGGTCAAGGGAATTCATGGGGGGCAGGTGGGGGCCTGGACTTGGGTCTCTCATGGGAACGCAGTGACTCCAAACTGATGATGCATTTGACCCCGTCCTCGGGCTCTGCCTGCTCATCTTCTACTCTGATTGTCTCCAAATTTGGCCACTTAAAGACTTGTGGACTTCAACTCCCAGAATTCTGGGAATTGAAGTTCACAAGTCTTAAAGTTTGGAGTCCCCTCTCCTATATCGTGAGCTGCCCAGAGTTGTTTTAACGGGGTGGCCCTGTAAATCTTTCAAATAAATAAGCAAACAAATCCAGTTCACACAGTACATTTTTCTCCAGTTTTGGTTTCTGAAATATGTAGAATGCACGGAAGTAAAACTTCAGCCCAATTTGAGATCTACTATGACAAATTCCTTCTGTCTCTAAACTTGACTCAGTTCTCCAGTTTGAGAAAGCCCAGAGCATGGCTGTGACTTGAAAGTGCAGCTGTGTCTTCAGTAGGAGAGAGCATCTAGTTTTCTTTGTGCTTTGTCAAAGCAGTTTATTTTATTAATTTTGGGTGTATCCCACCAAGTCCAGGTGGCAAACATATCTATTACTCCTGCCTTCCTCCTCCTATTTTCACCACAATAACCCTGTGAGGGGAGCTGGGCTGACAGTGAGATGGGGCCCAAAGTCACCCAGTGGGCTTTCACACCTAAGACAGGACTACAATTCACCGTCTCCTGGTGATTGACCCAAAGTCATCCAGCCAGTTCTAAGGTGGGACTAGAACTCAGCGTATCCTGGTTTCAGCCTATGCCTTCACCACTAGACCAAACTAACTCTTGATTTCATCCATTTGAAGCAAACTTGAAAGCAGCGGGTGTCCAATGGGCTTCAACTCCTATGTATGGCTGCCTGGGGAATTCTGGGATTTGAAGTCCACAGTTCTTAAGGTTGCCAAGATTGGACATGCCTGCTTTCAATCTCTTGCCCAATATGTGCCAAGCCCTCCCTAGGCTGATAATCGGAGATTTGATGAAAAGGAATGATAAGAGTTCCAGATAATATGAGCAAAGAAAAGAACAAGAATTACTTGACTTATTATTTTCACAGTCTACAGAAATGGATTTTGGCATTATTAAAACAAAAATCTTTCACCACCTGATAATAGCCTGAAAACAAGGATGATTTCCCATAAGGATCAGACCAAGAATATTTATTTATTTATTTAGTGTATGGCTAGAGCTCTGCATATCAGTGATTTACAAATGTAGTTTAAATAAAGCATCAGCAAATATATAGATAATATATATAAGATATGTGGACAATTGGACTAAGATATTTTACTGCTAAAAGTCCCATTAAAAAATGCAAACAAGCACAAAGATACAATAGTTTCCTGACTATAAATTTTGCATCTTTGCCCGGTTGGCTCTAATATTTTAGCAAAGATCATAAATGCCCCCCAAATCTGAGAACTTCCTGAGGTGCCCACTACAACATCCATCACCCCAGCAGCCCAAAAATCACAGTTCCTCCCAAGTCCCCAGCGCAGTCTACCTGGAGCTGATTCAGAAGATCCGTTCGAGTTTTCAGACATTTTAAATCCAAGATGCAACGTCGGTTTAAGAAAAATAAATGATCCTTTCAGACCGGCGGGGATGCCGGTTTTGCAAAAGAGAAATAATCTTGACTTGTCCTTTCTTGGTTCTGTCCGTCAGAGAGGCAAGTGAGGACGGCACCTGCGGGCGCCTCGGTTTTGATTTTCCAGCCTTTTTCACAACTTGACTCAAGTTACAAAAGAAAGACAGAAGCGACCCTGTGTGGGCTTTTCAGATTGCCTCTTAGGGCTTCATATATCCCTGAGAAAGCTCAGTTACCTAAAGCCGCACACAAGGTGCTTATTCACTTGAAGAGCACGCTTTGCCACCTAAGCAGAGTTGAAGCACAATGCCAGGCTAAGAGAAAAGGCACACCGGGGCTGCGGAGCAGAGAATTCAAAGCACAAACGAAAAAAAAGGACAGAAACACAGCAAGGATTGTGACAGTGTCACAACAAACCACGGCTAGTATTTCGGCACTCAAAAGCCTTCCATTAAAAGGAGGATGTTATGAAACCAGCTCTTTCAGCCGAACGAAGCAGTCAGGATGAAGAGCAGAGGAAGAGCGCTTAAAAAGAAAAATAAACTTAAAATGAGGATACCTGAAGTTCTGCCAACATGACACAATGGTTCTAAAATCAAAGCAGGCAGTTTAGAAACCTCTTAGGTGTTTTTCAGATTCCATCGGGACCAGCCAAGATTGCCGGGGGGGCAAAAAGATAGTAGGAACGGTGCTCGAAACGCATAAAGTCCCCTGGCGCCCATCCCTGGTTCATTAAGTCGGTTCCCATGCACAAAACAGACACACCCAAACTCACTGTGCAGGAAATGTTAACACTGTTGAGGTGGGGGTGTTGGGAAATGTTCTAGTCCTAATTAATGAAGGTGTGGCCAGATTATGATACCGAAACACAGGAGTTAAATTATTCTGGGAAGATGATGGAGCCTGTGTCGAGATGGGTCTTTCATGGCACCTGTGGAAGCTGAGGAGGAGAGTAAATGAATGAGGAGGAAGCAGGAAGAGGAAAGAGCCAGTTTGATGTAGGGGTGAAAGTGCTGACCTAGAAACCAGGAGAGGGAAAGTTCTAGTGTCGCATTAGGCATGAAACCTAGCAGAGTGACTTTGGGCCAATCATCAGGAGACTGTAAGCTCTAGTCGTGCCTTATGTATATAAGCCGCTGGGTGACTGTGGGCCAATCACTAGGAGACAGGGAGTTCTAGTCCCGCTTTAGGCATGAAAAGTAGCTGGGTGACTATGGGCCAATCACTATGAGACAGGGAGTTCTAGTCCTACCTTAAGCACAAAAACCGTCTGGGTGACTTGGACCAATCACTCTCTTTCGGTCCAACTCATCTCACAACGTTGTTGATATGAGGAAAATAGGAGGAGAAAAATGTGTTGGATACATTTCCTACTTTGAGTTTTGTAAAAAATA